GGACAGCTTGGCTTTTGCAACTGCTGATATACAGGGTTAACAGGAAATTTCCTGTGAGCACTAAGGATTTTCTTTTGAGGTATTAGGTTCAGGAAGCATCCAGTTTACTTACCCATCTCTTCCAGTTCGTGTTGTAATTTATGGATTGATTTTTATCATCTCACGAAGTTCCCTTTCTGGGCTGAGACTTCATTGTAGCTCGGCAGGAGTTGCCAGTACACGCAAAGAAGAATCTTATGGTAGAACTGTACAGAGGAGGACAGAGTGGGAAAGGCTCTGGGCCTCTTGCAGCAGTCAAGAATTTCTCTGGGTAACGTGAAGCTTTTATCTGAAGTGGAAGTACATTTAAAGCTGTGTTTATCATCGTGCTTTTAGTGCCTTCTAAGCTGACCACAGTAAAATACAGACATCGGAGGGCAGCTCCAGGCATGCACTGAAGGTTGGAGTTGTGTCAAAGTAACAAGCAATTTCCATGGAAATTAAAGCTATTTAAAAATCTGATTGAACTGGAAAATGGACTGTGGTTGAGCAAAAGAGAGTGCTAATAAGAACAAAAACTATCGCCTATCATTATTTTCATGCAGATGGTAGCTAAGTCTAGTATTTGTCCTTGTGATCGTGACTATTTGGTTAGTTGCTCATTGCTCATGGTTGCTAATTTCCTTTAGCAATGAATAAATTATAAACCCCTAATAGCTCAGTTGAGCAGATTTAAATACCTTATCCTTCTTTACAAGTATAGTAGCATCCACAGCATTTGATATTCCAGATATTCGGACCTACATAGATTCTCCCTTGTATTTCTGGGCTGGATAACACATCTCAACAGTCGTGGAGACTTTTAATCACAAGTAGAAGTTAAAAACCGTGTCAGTAGCAGGATTTACACTCTGGTGTATTTGGCCTGCAAAGTGATGGGATAGTTTTTTCTGAGTTGCTGGTCTGAAGTTGTTTGTATGCAGTGGTTTGGGCGAAGGTGAATGGGAATATCAGCTCCTACCCGTTTTGACTTTTTTGATGGGTAAATTGTATCTGTATTTGTGCGACCATTGCACTGAACACTGGAAGCCACTGTAGTGAGCTGTTTGCAGGCTAAGATCTGCACTTCAGTGAAAGGCAAACTCGCAGGTCAAGCCAGTCCAATCCATGAGAACAGGGCAGTCAGCTCTGACCTGTACGGTCAGTTTGCAGTAATCTTAGCAGTGATACATACTTCCCTCATGGGTAAGATTTTTAGGGAGAATGAAATGCCATAGCTGAAAGGCTCACATTTCTCTAGGATTACTGTAGGGCTTAATTAGATGAGCTAATAAAAAGACTTGCAGTTTAAATCTACCCCACGTGTATTATCCTGTGACAGAGTAATGAATCAGGATGTTCTGATTATTTAGGCCAAGTAGGACTTTTCAGTCCTTTTCCTGATGAACTTCATTACAAGTTCTCCATTTCCTACTCCAGGATCTATACTGTCATTAGTCACTTCATCATCTACTGTGCCCTCTCAGTCCTAAGGAGGTTTGTGATTTAAAGAATGCTGCACTCTCTTCTGGCAGTGTTTGTACCAGTGTTTGAGAGGTGAACAGTCTTTCATGTGGCCATTATCCAGCTCTTTTGACTTTCTGAACATCACTTTCCACCTCTGCCTCTGCCCTTCCCACTGCTGTTCTCAGACTCCATCTAGGCAGCATTCATAACAAACAAGACTGGTCTGTTTTTAGGGAATTCTGTCTTCCTGTATACTTCTCCTTCATCCTCTCAAAGCAGGGAGACTGTTTGGCTTCCAGCTAACTGTTAATGTTACTGTTAAATACAAAGTTGTCCACCTGCAAAAAATGCATTCAGAAAGACAGTCTATAAACCATTCCTTTAAAGTTTCCAAACCATAAAGGGAAAAACTGATCTGTAAAGTTCACTTTTATCCTATTAAAATGAAAATGGTTGTGAGTGATGAATAAGAACGCATCCTTTACTTTTTCCTCCTCTGGCTTTCCACTCAAAAAGGAAATAAAAAACCCTCTCCATATTCGGTTACAACCCATATTCTTTTGCTTAGTAATGATGGAGTAAACAGCTGAACTGAACTGTGCTCTCTGTCTACAGATACCACATTGAAAAGATCACGAGTAGGAGAAAATATTCAATGCATGTAGGGTTGTTTTTATGGAATGAAAGGCGTGTTGACAGTCACCGACATTCCATTTAGACCTTTCACATATGTTGATGTATGTTACTGCTGATAGACAGTAACTCTGTCTCATAGCTGAATGATTTGTTCAAAGATAGGAGACTAAGGCTTGAAACAGTTGATTTTGTCAGGCAGGTTACTAGTAGAGTTCTCTAAGGACATGTATAAGATACAGTTCTGTTCAACATGTAAAACAGTCATATAGGAAAACAGGAAAAAAAGGATGCTTAGCAGTTAAGACCAATTGCTGATAGTATTAGGGCTGGGTAATACTAGCATGCTGGCTACAAAGAATTGCACCAGGAATCTCCTGTTAAGAAGCGACAGATCAGCTGCTTGGCAAATGAGACTCAGTGTACATTGTGAAATTGTTGCCCAGATACTCATTAACAGTGGGGGTTTTTTGGGAAAAAGAAAATCTAGTTTATTGGGATCTTGACATAGGTTAACACACAAGCAATGAAGTCTCCCAAGCAGGATTGCTGGTTGCTGTCTGTATGATTATGGAAGTGTGTGTTGCAGGGACCCTTGCCAGTGGTGTCTTCAGCTGGATCAAATGAGACTCCCTGAACTGCTGTTTAGCTCAGTTTTGACATGCAGCTAGTCTGTTGGTCCTGTATGACAACTACAGCATATGCATGATCCATTGCTGCTGATTATCTTGATTTATGTACAGAACATGTCCTGTCTCAACTATGTACAAAAACACTATCCTATGTTATTATTTCTGCACCTGCAGGAACAATTTCTACAGTGTATTTTTACTTCTGTGTACAATTTAGTCAACTCTGGAACAGGAACAGCCTGGGCAGTCTCTAGAAGGGGCCATACAGGTTGTTAATTGACTCATTAAAACACATGAATTGATCTGTGCAAAGTGGGAGCTGCCTGTGGGACTCTTCAAGGTAATCCAAAATCCCAATTAGTCAAATACTCAGCTGCAAAGGCAGCTTGACTTTAGTCAATCACCTTGTTTCAAGTTGGTCCATTATCTCATCTATGCAGGTGGCTAGCTGGGGAGTAGCTAGACCACCCAGGGAATTAATAGCGAAGTATGGTGGGTGTTGCACATGGGCACAGCTGTGCTACCGTACTGCACTGCAGTTATACCCATAGGACAAGTTTGAATTTCACGCTTGTGACTTAAGGTCTATAGTTTTTGCCACAAAGTCACACATATGGGACAAAACAATTCTAGTTTGGTGTCTGCATTCCTTGCAAACTCAGAAAATTATGTGACTTAAGTTTTAAGGCCATGTGAGCGCTGAGCCTGAGGCGCTGAGGCTGGGAGTGCCAGAAAAGAAAACCCTACAAGCCAGGAGCAAACCCTAGAAGAGAGGAGACATGTTAGGGGTGTCTGGCCCTGCAAAAGGCTGCTGCCTGGTTGAGACCAGTGACATTTGGTGCTAGTGGCCCAAGTGAGAGACTGACCTTCTCTTCTTGCCCCTCAAGCTCTGGCCTCAGGCTTTTGTCAGCTTGTTTGATATTTTAAAGGCTCATCAGGGATATGAGGTCTAACTTGAGTTTAGAGCCATTGAAGAGTGCTGCAGGAGGCAGGAGAAGATCCGTGCGGTAGGGAATATTGTGATTTCTTCTAGGAGAACAGGGAAGGTTGTCAATACGGGCTCCATATGCAGACTTACTTGAGAAGATGAAGTAGCTTGCTTATAATCTAATAGAGTAAAAGCAAGCTGAATAGCAGGGGAGTTTTCTGTTGTACTAGACAAGCACAGAACATAATGTACCAGCTGGAAATTGAAGCATGACAAATTCAAATTATAGATAAAGTACAAATTTTTAACAATGGAAGTAATCAACTTCTAGAACAATGTACAAGATATATATATATACACACACACATGCACACAAAGATACTCTTTTAGTTGAAAAATCTTTATATCAAGATTGTAGACCTTTCTAAAAATCATGTTCCATTTTGACTACAAGCTGTTGAGCTTGGTACAGGAATTACTTGGTTTCATTTTGTGGTTTGATCTGTGTTGGACCTAGGCAGTGTTTTTATACATGTCTCTTGACATTAAATTTATGAATACTTGATGTTAGACTGATCATGGTCCTAGCTGTGTCATGATTTTAGAGATGTTAAAAGAAGTATGCTTATTTGGGTCACTTCCAATAGCCTTACAGTTCTGTGCTCTTCTGCCCTTCAGCTGATGGTATCTGACCAGATGCCACAGGTTGGTGTGAGAGGGAGATTTTGCTGCATGGATTTTAGTGTTGTGGAATTAGTTCTTTCCAATACCCACTTCAATCTTTTGGAAAGATGTCTTTTTTTTAAAATACTTCAATTTTTAATGTCTGTATAGGACATTTTGTAGTGTAGTCTAGTCCGTAATGAATGAATAATCTAAAAAAAAAATTTTTTTTTTGAGGGAATGTTGTTTTCTCTGATTCTCTGTCTCAATCCTGTGCACAGTGCATCTCAGTCTTCAGGGTGAGGGAAGTTTATAAGCAGTAGTACTTGTGGGATTAAAGAGTCTCCTTCCTTCTCAACAGAAGAATATTGATTCTATTTGCCTTTTAAGACAGATAGTCAAGTTCTATTCTCAGAATAATACCAAGGTTATATTTTATAAACAGTGTTCCCCCCCAATATTTTAAATAATGCTTATACTTATTTTATGTATTAATGCATCATTTTTCCTGAACACAAAACTGGCTAAAACGAACCCATTTATTGTAATATTTTTCTTTTTCTTTGAAGGTGTGTGAAAGAGCATATACTGAACAAGATGTAAAATACTCCTTTTTATAGAAAATGAAACGTGCTAAATATATGTTTCTGTTTTTACAGGCTAAAGCCTATCTAAAGATAGCAATGGAAATAGTAAGACGACTGCCAGTACCTCCTGCTTGAAATATTTAACCCTGAAACTTACCAAAAAAGAGGTCTTTTGGTGCGACCAATGCGGAAGAGTCCTGCTACCTAACTATGTGGATGTCATATTTTAGTTCTTAGAACTTTTTTAGGAGTTAATTTACCAGAGATTAAATTATGATTGTGATATTTACTGTTTTTCAAATCATTTTTTGGCTATGTCCAAATGGATTGAAGTATGCAAAAGGTGACATATAGACAATATTTAACTGCTGGATTGTAACATCTTCAAGCAAGAAGGGATGAAGTACTTTTTTTTTTTTTTTTTAACGTGTCCTGTTTTAAGGTCAAGAACAAAAAACAGCTACTCCAGACAAGCAGAATGATGAGAGGGATGTGAAGGCATAAGTCCTCCTTAAAAAAATTATATTTGCCAAATTTCTGTCAATTTTGGTTCAACTTTTTAATTTGGTAACTACCAAGCTGACCTTAAGTTCTGCAAAATTTTAAGAAGCAAATTGAGTTATGTAACTGCAATACTTCTGTGTGTTCATGTTAAAAGAAAATTAAGAAAACTCCACGTATACTCTGAAGAGTTCTTGTGATGGATCATGAGCAAACTCATTCATTATTAGATAACATTCGATCGTGAGGCAATTAACAGTTTAGTAGAGAAGAGATTACATGACCCTGAGGCTTATTTCTTGACTGCTTTGCATTATCATGGACCCAGACAGAAGACTAGGTAACCAAGGTCTTCACTGAAAACCAGATGTTGTCCCTGAGCTCAGTTTGCCAGGGAATGCAAATGATCAAGATAAATTAAATTTATGATTGCATATTCCTATTACAGTGCAGCAACTTGGAATTTGAATATAAAGATGTATTTTTGAAGTAAAGAAAAACTTGGTCTTCAAACTGCGTGGCCTTCTGGTTTGTTTTTTCATTGCCTTATATTTCTGCGATCTTTATTCTTGTGTTGGTGTGTGGACATGGAAGAATATGCCTTCAGGGAACGAGTTTCCATTTACAATTGGATGTCTGAGTTGACATGTAGGCTTTTTCATTTACAGTCAAGGATACGTATCTTAAATATACATCTTAACCATACCATACTGGAAATTTAACCATACTAGAGAGTTCTGCTGTTGACCTCTGTGGGACCAAGAGTTTCCCCGTAGTCCAAATAATTATTAATAATTTTGGATATAGTTGGTTTTCTTTACTGAAGTGATAGAACATAAAGAGTTGGTATACATTTACATTAAGGATACTTAAGTAATATGTACCCAGAGTTTACATGGGAAAGCTAGACACAAATTGTGGGTTGAATTTCAAGCTTAGGTAATTTTGTAAACATGTAAATTACATAGTCCAAAACTGTTGATTTTTTGCTTCAAGTCAATCTCTGAATCCCCTCGCCTGCACTTTCCGCTATGAAATCTCCTATCAGTATTCAACTTTTTCAGTAGCATATATTATCCCAGGCCTGTAGAATTGATGCAAATATTCACTTCCTTTCAGTTGTCTAATACATATTACAAAAATTAAAGCTGGCTTAGTGTTCTACCCTTGCATATTTTATTGATATGTATGTCTATAAGTAATTCTGTGGTTGTTTTGGTATAGTATTGTCATAAATTTCAGTGGAAAAACTGGGATTTCTGACTTTTTTAGCAAAAGACTGATACTTTCTGAACTTTGGTATTTATTATTTTTCTTCTGTTAAAAAGAATGTCTCTGACACCCAGTTCATGTTGAGGTTGGGTGAACAATCAGTATACAGATATAAGATTGTTGTCCTTTTATTTTTATTCCTTTTTATATTTTTTCCCTTTTCATTAAGTATTGCGGTTTTGCTCTGTTGAATCTTTCACCTGTAGAACTGTTTTGAATGCCTTTATCAAGAAACTGCTTATAATAATTAAATATGGTTTCTAAGCCAATCTGAAAATTCATATTTAATTAACATTTTTGTGGAAGGATTGCACAATGTAGTAGGTGAAACCTGATTTAGTGATTAAAAATTGCCAGTCATTTAAAATATGTATATAAATATATATATATATATAATTTTATAGAGTAGGTAGGACATTTCTGGATTTAAGGATAGCAGTGGTCAAACCCAATTTAAAATGAGAACGTATTTGCTTTACTTCCCTCATTCTCATAAGTGAAAAGGTATGTTTCCTAGCCCTGTACCTGCGAAGAAACTGAAGGGCATTGACACAGTGTTATTGCTACTTAATGTTATAGAAACACATACTCATATTTTTTTATTATACAGTATACTGTTAAATACATATTAATGCATTCTAGTCAACATACTGGATTTGAAATTGTAGTTTATAAAATCACAGATGGAAGCTTATTGGATTGGGGTGGTTGGATCAGTTCAAGGTTGAGCAGGAGACAGTGGCATTTAACCATAGTTTATAAATATAGATTATAGACTTGACACACAGTGTTGTTTGCTTTTTTCAACTCCAGTATTTTTCTTCCGTCTCTGTGATATTTCCTTGTGTACTAGTAGGCTTTTTCTAAAAATGCTAATCCTAATAGGACCTTGCTCTCCTAAGGTCTATGGGCAGATGCTCTTTGCTGAGGAGCAGTGGAGACTTACTGCAAAGTCACCGTGATTGTGGGTTACCAGCTCAGAATTAGTGAAGTCGGAAGCACTGTAAGCTGCAGTTACACGCTGCAAAATACCACAGAGGAAGAGAAAGAAAGAGGAAGGCTGGAGAGGCGTGGGGCCAGGCTGGCAGGAGTGGGGACAGAGGTGAGTATCGGTCCCAGTTCACCTCCCGTGTATGTTAAGAGCACGATTTCCAGGCCACCTTGCATCACCGTTTGCTTCCCCATTGACGCTGCGGCCCGTTGTATAGTGACCACAGTTGTTGTGTTTGCAAATAATTCATGTTGTTTCTTGGGTGAGGAGCGTATAGGCTCTGTCTTAACACAGTGCGTTCCCTGGCTCTCCCAGGTTTTGGTTTTGATGAAAATAAAGCTCAAAGAGGGTATAGAATTGTTTCTGTCAGTGAAGTATTTTGCTAGAAAATTTTTACTGCTATGTTCAGGTCACTGTGAACTGTTTAGCCCTTGAGACTATGGTTTGTGCAATCCTTCAAGTGTTGGATATCTCACAACAACAACATTTTTAGTTGTTATTTGAAGTTATGAGAGGAAAATTATTTGCAAATCATTTTTTTGTCTGCTAACTCAATTTGAGTTTAAACTAAAACCCATTTTAGTTGCTCTGATGGTGATAATGGTGATGAAATAATGCTATTGCAGAGAAGAAATGGCAGAAGCAGCTTATCTTCAGTGCATTAACAAAAAAACCCTCTAATTCTGGACTTGCTTCAAATTAGACTCACTTGGATCCAGTGCAGCAGGTGAATCCCTTAGTAAGTATATGATTTTCACCTGGACCTACTTAAACTCTCTATTGAGTTTTCCCTGCTTGTGATGCTGTTGGTGCCGAGGAGAGCAGGCTTTGATCTGAGGCAGGTGCCGCATACTGGTTTGTTGGTAAACTTTGTTCAGGCCATTACTGGGCCCCCTAATGTAAATCAAGGGAAAAGAAAAAGGGGGTGAAGAAGGGGTGAATCGTATGCCAATGGGAATATCTCCAGTTTCCCAGAGACCCTGCTCTAATAATATTGGGTTTGCAGGTGTGAGAATAACAACAGGAGAGCAACAAGAAAGGAAAAACCTTCTGTTGCTTAGGTGAAAGATTAGAGAGCTGAGAGAGGCTCTGTGGGCTACAGAACTGATTTGCAAAAGCTAAGGCACCAAAGATGCTGTGCGACAATACAAAGGGGATTTTGGTACCTGCTCCAGCTGTGCAAAGCTTCTGTTGGAGCATCCCCAGAGCCGAGACTGCATGTGGGCTCTGTACCCGAGTACCCATGTCGCAGGCACTGGTGTGTGTACGATCTCCATGCTTACTTTTCCAGGAGGTTTGCGGTATTTGCCCAAGGTGCAAGAAACTTCTTCTACGCCTGGCTTTGCGAAGATTGAAATCCATAGCTTCTAAACTTAGGAGAGGTCCTCAGCCACCTGGCTTAGTCTTTGCTAAGGACCATCAAGGAGCATTCATCACATTTTCTGATAAAGCTGTATCGCTTGTAGAAGAAATAAAGAACATAGTCCTTTATTTTTTAAATATTATCCCTCTATTATCACAGCTAGCTATTTTTTAGCCTAATGACTTGGGCTGGACTTTGATCCTTGCTCCCAGCTTTATTGATGATTTTTACCTAACGAATCTGTGAAGAAAAGAATCAATTCTTAGGATAGATGTTTGGCATTGTAGCTGCTTACAGACTTGAGAAAAGGCTGGGAGGTTCTGCTTTTGGATTTTGATACCCCCACGTCATTTTAGTTTCTTACGGCCACATCTGGGCTTAGATTGCTGTTGTCATTCTTATTAACAGGAATGCTTCCTACCAGAGATGGATAGGGGGAAAGGCTCCTGCTTAAGGACGCTTGACAACAAGATGAATCTGAATTGCTGATTTAATTTCAGAATTGACTTATAATGGCAGGACTTACAATGATGATAATATTTTATTTTGGCAGCATATCAGCCAAGGCATGGTTTGTCAGCCACATTTCACAAAAACACAGGAAAAGAAAAAATTCACTCGAAAAGTAGTTTTCAGACTAAATTTAAGACTTATCTTTTTTTTACGGGCTCTGTTTTACATTATAAAGATATTAAGTCTGAAGAAAAGGTGTATTCAGAGGTCTGTATTTTTCCATTATCTTCACATATTCAGGGAGGCTTTTTTTTTTTCTTTTTTCAGCAAGAAGAGTACAGGCACAGCTTGTCATTCCTTATGTACCTATTCCTCTCAGTCTCTCCATTTGTATGAGTCTGGATCTGAATATCCTCGTTAATCAATGCAAATAAATGACTTCTCCTAGGGAGTACGTGAGTCTTCGAACAAGCTAGCAGGGGGGGAAGAACATCTGTTGTCCTTTAACATCGTTTTGAATGCTTACGGATTTATTTGAAGTGTTTTCAGTCATAC